AAAATGAAAATGGCAGTGCTGAACTTGAAATCTGTCGCGTCAAGCTGTATAAAAATATAAGCAATTAATATACTAAGTACTATGCTCAAAATACTCAATAAAATGCTAAGATGCTCTGTTTTTAACTTTTAATTTATCCGAATTCATTAGAACGCTCTAAGGGTTCATATTAAAATTGTACCAAGTCCGGAACTCACTGCTATAACTCAATCTGACTAGATTTTGGCTCAAAAATATATTAAAAATCCGAAAAATATCTCGGACTGCTCATACGAGCCAAAAATAACTCGAACTGTTGGCGGAACCGGCCGGTTCACTTACTAATTGGACCGGACTGACTAAACCGGTCCTACACTGGCCCACCGGTTTACCGGGAACCGAGCGGACACTACGGACCCGAGCTGACACGGCTCGGTCCCGTGCCGGGTCTGCTGGTGCCCTGGCACGGTGCTGGGAGCTGCTAGGCGCGAGACTGGGCACTGCTGGCACGGCTAGGCACGGTCTGGCTTGAGCACTAGCCCAACAGGCACGAACAGACGCGGACAGACACAGGCAGGGCTTACCCAGACGCTACTAAGCGCTATGTGTGCGTCACTGGGCGTGCAGACGCGAGACATGCGCTAGCCCGGGACGTGCAGCGACCTAGATATCCCACATCGGTTGTGAAGGAGAACGAAGCATGCCATATAAGTGGCTGTGGACACCTTCACTAGTAGGACGCGTTTGGTAAGGCAAGCTCCCAAAGGCAAAACCGCGAGGGCCGCTAGTTGCCCAAAGCGGACAATATCTTACTACGGGTCTAGATGTTGGGCTGTTACAGTGGTATCAGAGCCAGTAATTGGGCCATGTGCCAGCGAGGACGCTGGGCCCCTGTGGGGGAGGGGGGGAGGTGGATCTAGGTATCCCACATCGGTTGTGAAGAAGAACGAAGCATGTCATATAAGTGGCTGTGGACACCTTCACTAGTAGGACGCGTTTTGGTGAGGCAAGCTCCCAAAGGCAAAACCGTGAGGGCCGCTAGTTTCCCAAAGCGGACAATATCTTACTACAGGACTAGATGTTGGGCTGTTACAGTGGTATCAGAGCCAGTACCCGGGCCATGTGCCAGTGAGGACGCTGGGCCCCTGTGAGGGGGTTGGATCTAGATATCCCACATCGGTTGTGAATGAGAACGAAGCATGCCATATAAGTGGCTGTGGACACCTTCACTAGTAGGACGCGTTTTGGTGAGGCAAGCTCCCAAAGGCAAAACCGTGAGGGCCGCTAGTTGCCCAAAGCGGACAATATCTTACTAAGGGTCTAGATGCTGGGCTGTTACAGTGGTATCAAAGCCAGTACCCGGGCCATGTGCCAGCGAGGACGCTGGGCCCCTGTGAGGGTGGTTGATCTAGATATCCCACATCGGTTGTGAAGAAGAACGAAGCATGCCATATAAGTGGCTGTGGACACCTTAACTAGTAGGACGCGTTTTGGTGAAGCAAGCTCCCAAAGGCAAAACTGTGAGGGCCGCTAGTTACCCAAAACGGACAATATCTTACTACGGGTCTAGATGCTGGGCTGTTACATTCCATCTTTTGATTTTTTTTATGGTTTAGATTCTGCTTAGCTATATGATATGCGTATGATGGTGGTTGGTTGGCGTGAGGCAGTTCTTGTACATGAACTTTCACAAATAAACAACTCAAATAGTAACAAATATATGTTATCTTACCTTCTTAAGATACTTGCAATTTTTTGTTCTTAAGATATCTTCAATAAACACATTGCAAAAGTAGTACAAACCAAAGAAGTTCATCACTTCACATTACAACAACACACCAACAAAGTTCAGACCAGCAAAACACACCAACAATACTAAACCACTACACATACTAAACCAACTTTCTAAACAGGCATTTTCAAATGACCAAAACCATTGAACTGGTTCTTTGAAAACATGTTCAAGTACAAATACATAGACACAACTCCTACAAGTAAACAAAATGTATTTGAGTTCCTCTTTCACTTCATACAACCTTTCATTCTCCAAAACCCACAGTTTTTTTTTTTTTTCATCCTTCAGTTTAAAACTTGCCTCTCGCAATTCTTCATTTTGAGCATGCAGTTCACTGGATTTTCGCAGGTGTCCAGAAATAATCTGCTTCCGTCATTTAAACATTGGTGGATCAACCCAAGTAAGAACCTCAAACCTTCGTTTAAAATTTACCCAAGAATAAAAAATATTCACCAGTAGAAAAAATCCTGAACTAAGAAAGAAACACAAATTATTAGCCCGTATTCATGGCAGGGACGAAACAGTGGTAGGGTTTTCGGTTATCTAATAGGTGCTTATGACAGAACTCTTACCGCAATGGCAGTAACTCTCATCATTAATGTTGGAAATAATAGATAACAATAGACAAAGAGACACTCAAAATTTATTATTTAATATTTCACTCAAGAACACATACAAAGCTCAAACAAGTTATTTGAAACTTTGTCCAAAAACTCTATTTCCTCTCTCTCTTGGAAATCTTTAGGGAACACACAAAATGGAAATGGGTTTTGGGATTGATCAAGCCTTCTACTTTTCTTCATAAGATTTCACAAAGAAGAGAAGTATATCGGTGTTATTTGTCATGTGTGGTTACAAGTGTAAGAACTTATTTTCACAACTCATCTTGTTTAATGAGAGACATTAATCTCATTAAGTTGCAATTTGTTTAATTAATTCAAGATTAATTAATCTCATAAGTTTCAAGTTTGTGAAACCTATCCACATACATTGTCTTGAAACTTATCCATACATGCATTGTCTTGAAACTTATCCTAATTTCAACCAATGTGTAACATCTTACACTCGTGAATGTAACATGCAAGTTTCAATCTTGTGAAATCATCTTACATCCATGCATGTAACTCATCTTGCATTTATTTTATATTAACCAAAATATAACAATTAACATAAGAACTCTTGGACATGATGTGAAAATATTGAGCACACAGAATTGGGAGAAACTAGGGCTACGATTTCGGGGAAATTTGGGGCTAAATTATTATGTTTCTCACCTTTTAATTCATCTGTGAATCCAAGTGAATTTTTTATTTTTTTTTACATTTGTTTTTAACAATTTTCATTTCCACGTGCACAAAAGGGTTGCCAAGTCACCTCAATTGGCCGGATAATGCACCGCGTGCGGGTCACGTGCTGAATTTGAAATCAATCTTCCAGGGTCAGAAGAACTGAAATTGCATGAGAATTTTAAATTACAATACTAAAAGTTAAAATATTGACACATTGAGACTAAAATTGCTAATGTATTGAACTAAAAATGCAATTTTGCCTTACGGAAAGTTTGTTTTGAGTCTTGTCACACGGTCACATTTTCATTTTATCATTTTATGAAACTTTGAGATTTATTATTATCAAAAATTTCAGACTTCATTTATCTTGTAAAATCTTTTGGACTTTCCATTTTAGAGTTTGTGGCTATAATTTAGTCTTTTTGGGTGAACAGACCAACATAAATGTTTAGTTTGACAACATAATATTTAGTCCATGGTTGGCTTATAAAGTCCGTTTGCAAGCAAACCGCTTAACCCATTTGAACAAGTACCGGTTCACCAGCTCAACCAGTTTGGAAATAGTTCGAACGATTTTCGGGGCATAATCAGTGGTTAATTTGTTATGAACCGAACTGGTATGAGAAGCGGTTTTCTAAGTTGACCCGGTCGTCCGGTCCGGTTAAAGTCATACCAAACGTACCCTACAAAACTTGCAAAACCCTACGTTGGCTCTCTGTTTCCTGCTTAACGAAAGAGCGAAATAGGTAGAACAAATGTCTGCACCCAACCCCAAAAACTCACAAATCTCGGCCGATCTTCTCAAGCAGGTAATGTTATAATATATCATTTTAACTGTGATTTGAGAGATCGATTTAGGATTCCAATTTCGTTCTGCTCAAAGTACAATAATCCGATTTGTTGATGACATTAATGATAAAGTTGATGTATTCGAAAATTTATAGGTGAGAACTCGTGAGGTCGCTGTGGCTGAGCTCAGTAATCTTTCTTCAGCTCGGGTAACAATTCCTTAATCTTTCCACGTTTTTAGAACTCCAAAATCAATTATTCCATTGTTGAATAAAAAAATTATGACTCAATGAATTTCATTCATTACTCCCCACAGAAAAATCGGACAAAACAGTATGCAGTGCTTTTGCGGAAGATACTCATCTTTCTAGAAAGCTTCATTTATGCAGTATTTTTCATGTTGCGTTATTCCTAATAGGGTCGGTACTTGGGCCTGAATGAGATAAAGGTGAATTTCACTCCATGCCAATATACAGTTAATAGCATTTTCTAATGCAGGCTGTCTATCAAAAGAATGGGAATATATATTTCCAAACCACCATTGAGAAAGCAACTGCATTTGAACAAAGTAAGTGTACCGTTCACTATATCAGTGTTTTGTACTTTCCTTTTGCTTTGTGTATCATCAAGTATTATGATCTTCTTGGTTTTTGGTTCAATTACAGAACAATTGGATATGGCCAAGGGTAGGCTGCAAATGCTTGGTTAGTCTTGATGTTTGATGGGAAGACAGAGAGATGGTGCATATCAACATCCATAGAACCAATTCACTAAGTCAAGTATCTACCAAAATCATTGTCACCATCATCCAACTAAAGCTTCAGATATTATGTATAGTTATGTTGATACAGTATACTATATCATTTATGAAGGTATTTAACTATCCAAGAAAAACCTGTCCTGAAAGAATTGTGCCCAATGNGTGACAAAACATCTATCTCTAATTGCAGATGATCCTTTAACAAATCAAGAAGTATGATAGTATTTTTAGTTCAATTTTGATGATTTTGGATGATATAAATTTGTAGCGCATCTATCTCAAATTGCTGATAATCTTTTAGCAAATAATCAAGTATGATAGTATTTTCAGTTCAATTTCGATGATTCAGATGATATAAATTTGTAGCAACCCTTCAAGGACTTATTAATCAGGTTAGGCTCACAAGCGTCTCAGTCCAACCTACCAACCAAATTTGAAGGGCAAGATGAGAAAATTTCCTTCATACAAATGCGGGGGACCTCTTTTCCCTCTTAAGAAAGTGGCTTTCTTCAAGAACACATTACACAAAATTGAACTTGGAAACACAAACTTTGATCAAATACTGAAATGTTCAAATGTAGGCCACCTTTTTACAAGCAACAAGAACTGCACCAATTGCAAAGAGAAAAGGCCGATTTTCGTGAGTTTCTATACCCTTTTATTTAATGCTGATAAGTGCCATGCCACAAGATACACAGACAAGGAATTTCATGAACTCCATCACACTCTCTCTGCACCTTGTTGAAAAGCAACAATCACAAGAGTCACGAGTGACGCATAAACTGAATTCGGAAGTTTCTGAACCACTTTCCCCACACCCGGAACATTCTCAGTCGTCCTTTTCGTTAGCAAAGCCACTGTTGGGGCAACAGCTAGTGTGATGATCAATCCTTGACTCACACTGATAAATGTGTCTTTTGTAATTTGGCGTATAAATTTTGTGAACTCTTCACGATCCAGCTCACCGTCGAGGTTTATGTCACATTCCTGCTCAAAGAAAATGAAACGTCGTAATAACCGAGTGACTGTAAAGTAAAAATTTTAGAATAATCAAAGCCTAGAATGAAACAGTTGCAATGTGCTTCATTTGTCATCACTACTACAAATGTAAACAAAGAAGGAAGGTTAGCAAACAAGTCTCAAGGAAGTGTCTGCCCAGTTACTATAAAATTAGAACATCAACAATGCTCTTAAGTAACAGAATCTATGATATTACCCGCCTCTCGATTTCAAGGGGCCCTTAAAAAGTTGATAATACATCAAGTACCCAATGAAAATTCTGTTACATACCTGCATCAAGTTCCTAACTTGCTCCTTTGTAGGGGGGTCAAAATGTGGACCAGGCAAACGCTTATTAAGATCACTGCAAACATAGAACCCAATTGTTCTAAAATTCTAGAACAAAAACGCAAAAAGATAATTTGCAGAAAATGGATAATTTATAAGATTAGTGAAAAGTAGGTAAATATGGAGCAGGAGTATGGGAAATCTTCTAACTTGAATACAAGTAAGACAGCAATATAAAGCTCTTCAAATGTCAGAGTAGCCCTTCCAGTATCATTCTTTAAACTATCGAAAACTCTGTCTGTAATAAGTCGTATCTGTTTTTCTTTCCAGTCCTTACCTGCACATGATACAATCATATAACAAGTAACGCATCCAAGCAATTTTGGATCAACTACGAGTTAACAACTATCTAAATAATGGTTATTATGATAAACACATAGTCCGTGAACATATGTTCTTTACAACTTCAGACACAGAGCCCGTTCAGCCCAGGTAAAATTGTCATCTTTCTACAGGCAAAATATGTTTTACGATTTGAGACCTTAATTTAGCCGAAAGTTTCAATAATTATTTTGTACCAGATGAAAAACAAATGTTAGATGCAGGAATTATTACAAAAACTATTCGAAAATGAAACAAAACCAAACAAATTCTGATTTTCCTATAACTAGAAAGGAAATTAATTTCAAAGCCCACCTTTGGTTAAGCACATATCATAACAGCTTGAAATAAAACAAAATCAAGCATCAGGGTACTTTTCAACAAATTGGAAACTCCTGAACAACACTTCCCTGTCTCAACGCATTAAAAAAAGCACTAATTTTTCTAGACAAACATTTATATGTAGACGAAGGACTCAGCAAATCAACCAGGACCAAGCATAG